TAGAATCATCATATAATTGGTCTTTGGGCATTCTCTAACAATATAACCAAATACTTTAGAGAAATAGATCAACTTTATTACATTTACATTATCATAATATTTTATTAATTTATGGGTATATGAATTTGATTTCTTAAGCTCGTCAAGAAGAGCTTGTTATAGTATGGGTGTCACTGAGAGTTAGAAAATTTTATCCTTAGAGTTCAATTCCCAAGAAACTTACCTAAATTGAATTCATCTACTCCACTATTCCATATGTGAAGATTGTGATCATCATCGAACATCCTCAATAAAAGCATAATCTAATCAACCTAGTAATATCATACACAAGAGATGTCACATTTTTTCTACTCCTATATATACCTAAATGTCAAGTCCTTTGGTCATCTCTTCATGCGAAGAGAAAGCTATATCCTGTAAGATAAGGGTATAATATTCGAGTGTATCTTCTAAAGTAAGATCAAGGGTTCTTTTTTATGAAGGTTTAATCTTGTTACTTGCCAAAGCGGCTATAACTTTGATTGTCAAGAGAGCATTTAATTTAGTTGATATTTAAAGAATTTCAAGATTAATTTTTTTTTCATTATTCATAACCTCAAAAGGTAGCGCTTTATCTAATATGTTTGAATGTCAAGTGACTTACAAACTCTAAAACTGATGAAGAAAGAAAGAAAAATAAGTACAAACAAGATGAAATGTTTTTTCATGTAAGCACAACGAGGCTTTATGGTGGATGGAATGACTTCTTCTTAATTAATATCATTATGCCTCATTATTTGTCGAATGTCCATGCCCCTGTATCTATTAAATTTTGGACCTTGCACTTTAATACCCCATAGTTCTCAATTGTGTGCCTATAGCTTTCTATGTGGTAACTACACACACCGCGTTGGCATTGTAGCCTTCAGGAAATGGTGGCTCCTTTGGTTTGGACTAAACTAGAGTCGCGAGATTCTTCTCAACAAGTGTTAGGAGAAATTCCTCATATGTCATTGGAATCAAATTAATATGAGTCTTTTCTCGAATCATCTTATGAGGTTTGATCATATGACTAGCTGAATAAAATCCCACTATATTGATTTCAGGTGATTTCTCAGAGTCAACACTACTGGTGTCTCATATCTTGTTGTTCCTAACAGATCTTTCAACCATCTCTTCACACATGATGATGTCAGAGAAATTCTTAGTGGCAACCCCTAGCATATGGTTAATGTAATGAGTCTTTAATGTATTAATAAAGATAGTGATGAGAACCATTTCAGTCATTGATGGATACACCTGGGATGAAACATCCCAAATTATGCATAATTTCAGAATCTCTCATTATGCTTCATCTTCATATTTTGCAGCGTTGTTTGATCAGGGGTCATATCATTCATGTGGTTGTATTGACCCCAAAAATATATGAGCTAAATCCTTCTATGAACGTATTTGAGTACAACTCAGTTGATTATACCATCTGGTTGCGGGTCCGATCAGGCTATCTTAAAATTAGTGGATTAGTATTTGATCATTATTAGTGTATCCAATCATCCTTCGAATAAACACCATGAGATGGGTAATAGGGAAACTAGTTCCACTATACTTTTCAAAATTGGGCGTTTTGAATTTGGACGGAAGCACCATGTCTATAGCCAAACTAACTCCCTTGTATCCAATTCATCTTAAGAGCTCTGTCATCTCAATCCTTTGAAGGTTTCTCTGCACCAAACCTTAGATTCACATGCATATCATTCCTAGCTTTCCTCATTTCATCACAATTGGGCATGTTATTGTCACTGGGGTCGTTTTGAGTATTTGTCATCGTTGCTTGGGTCTTAGGGATTGTGAAGCTTGTTTGGTAGTCAAGAAGCTTCTTAGGTGAAATGATTAGTTGTGAGCAGCATGTTTCATCATGCACTTGGTGGTTTATGTGACTGAAGAAGTATGCTCTTTGTCTTTTCCATGAAAGCTTAGTCAGTTTCTTTACAATTTGGTCGACTTTGCTAGCTTGGTTTTGTATGATGCAATCCACAATGGTTTTTTTTATCGTTCCAATTTGGCTTCTCTATCTTGTTGCATTTTCTGTGTATTCTCTTGCAATTCTTCAGTTGCTCAAATATTGCTTCCATTCTTAATCTTGTCTCATATGATTAAGATTACTGCCATGGAATTTTCCACGAATTAATTTCATGTTTTCAGGAATGAGGCATGCAAAAATGCTTAGACACATATAATGCAAATTCAAAATACAAAGATGCAAAAATAGATGCAATGCAAAATGTGTTGATCCCAGTGATGAATATCATAGAATAAGTTTCATCAGAGATAAAAGTCTTCACTATTTACAAGATAAAACATTTTCATAGACATGCTTTCTCTTGAATGTTTGGTTTAAAGTAGGTCAATACTTTATCTCAGGGCTTCATCCTTGGAAACTTGGTCCTTCAAGTGCTCTATGAGCCCTTGGGCTTATGTAGAGGCTCCATTCAAATATGATCTCTATTCCCCCTACTACACCAGAATTGTTCTTGCCATTGCTTAGATCAAGGGATCACCTTTCAAATATTGAATGTCATTCTATCAGCCAACTGTAATACATGATCTTCAAGGCGAGCTTCATCCTCTTCCTCTATGAGCTTCCTCTAGTCGTCAGCACATGTCTGTGTATGTAGGTACTTGATTAAAAACTTTTTCTCTACATATGAAAAACTTTACAGTAGATAATCAACTGTGGATCAACACCTTCTCATTATGTCATGATGATGCAATGCAAAAAGGCGAAAATGGCACAAAATGAGAAAAAAATGTTAGTAAAGGTAAGATAATTGATACAAATAAAAATGCTATTCAGAGATGAATATAACACCTACGCCATCATGATATCTACCCAAACATGCTTTTATTAAATAGTAATCCTGCCATGACATGCTTTCCACCCGACATGCTTTAATTTCAAGAAATCAATCCTAACTGCATAGTATAGTTCACATGTTTTCATTCGAAAAGAAACTAATTCTATGAATTTAAAGAAAAGACTAAAAGTTCAGGTTTATTCCTCCTTTGTGTACACTTATTTCAATACCAACTAACAGACAGAGGTTCGGTATGGCTCTACCTAGGATGACCATTTTATGGTTCAATCATGCATGGTTTCATCTCTATAGGGAGAGGTTACTCGAATTGCCATTGATGTTGGTGCCCTTTGGGTTGCCAAACCCTAAATTCTCACCCATTATAGGCTTATACAGAACGAGTTCAATTCTAGAGAGTTCACTTCCTTATACCATATAAGGTATAAATTTCTAGGAATGTATGAGGCATGTGTTCCCCAGAGGTTACTTGCTAAGGCTCATACTTGAAATAAACTCACCACGAAAGTAAATCGTTAACCCCTACTTAGTTGGTACAGAGCTCGAGTATAGAGCTTATGTCATGCAAATACATGTGATGTGTGCAAGGGGGAACTTACAAACCTTGGACAAAAAAACCAAGCAAAGATAAAAACACTTTCAAAAGGAAAATTCGATGAAGCTGAAAGCATTAATTTAAACATTAAAACAACTATTTACATAAAGAATGCATAATAATTGAAAAATATCAGGAAAAAATAAGCTAAATATGGACTTGAATCCATAATTTTCACCACTAAGACAACATATAAGCAACTAATGGCCTAACTCTCTAACCAGCCCCCAATGGAGTCGTTAAGCTATCGTAACATTTTTTCGAAACACATTTCCTTTTTTTTTTAAACCCTAATTTTATGTTTATGACTTATTTGGGAAAAATTGGATTTTTGATAAATTTGAATTAGGGTCGCCATTGAACTTTGGGTTAGGTAGGTCGAATACCTAAAAACATCTTTTAAACTTTTTTTAAAGAAAAATCATTTAAATGACAAAAAAAAATTTGTATGCATTTACCAAAGGCTAGTTTTAAAGGGTTCAAGAGTCGATTACGCGTGGGGAAGGATAAGCATCCCCACAACGCCCAAACTTGGTACCTTGTCACTTATACATTGTCATAGTAATGGAATTTGCATATTCAAATCCAAATTTAAAATATGATCCTTTTTATTTTGAACATGGATTAATTTATTTTGAATTATTTATTAAGGGTCATTCCCTATTTTAAGAAGAAATCACAAGATTTGCACACCCACCAATATGAAGTCTATCCCATCTATTTCTTCTCTATACAAGAAAGTCCTTTTTCTTAATTAAAATCATAAAGCTGTGCAAATTGAATACAAATGTGACAAATAAACAATCAAATAATAATGATAAAAATGAGACATGTCAAGCAAGAATTAAAAGCATTATCATTATTAAAAATAGGTAACATTTTATTAAAAAAAGATTCTATTTCTTTCAAGTCCACTTTTCGTTTAAATGTCGTATTGAATCGTATCACTTCTACTAAGCATTGCTTTTCACACCTATTCTACAAAAGATATCTTTGAAAATGAATATGAGTAAAAGCATAAAAATATTATCAATTGTAACGATATTTCATGATTTTAGAAATATTAATTCCAATATATATAAACACAAAGTACAAAAGGGGTAAAATGAGTTTAATAAATAAATGTATATAAGTATGTCTATAATGTATGATACGTACATGTAATGAAATAAATAAGAAATAAAAAACAACTATTACATATGTGCGTGTTTTTTATAGGGTTAATTACATCATTCATACATGAACTATACTCGATTCTCAGTTTCATACATAATGTTTAAAATTCTCGATTTCATACATGATTTTTTGTCGTTAACGGATTCACCCACTTCTATTACGGAAAGTGACGTGGAAACTTACGACCACTAATAAAATGACACTTGACACCTTAAAAAACATGTTTTTATTTTTTTAGGTAAATTATATCATTCATCACTCAACTATCTTCTCACTTTTATTTTAGTCACTAAAGTTTAAATTTTTTTAATTTAATTATTAAACTATACTAACCCTTAACCAGAGAAAACGTTTGTCTACCCCCTTTTCCTCCTAAACATATCTTCTTTCTCATGGTCAAAGGCTCATATGCTCACTAACGCCACCGGCCACCGATCATGGATGATCTCTCATTCTTCGATCATCGACTACTCCTACCGGTGACGACCCTAAACCGTCCTAAAACAAACAACACTTCAAAATCTGGTCTAAACTCCTCTTTTATTTCCAATTGAAACCTAGAGTACCCGATCGCCGCCCTTTTCTCCATCTACCACTGGCCATGGCTAAAGAACCTAAACCTAGTCTTCTCATTCTAAAAAAAAAGCTTAAAGAGCACAAGAATACCCCCTACACACTCAATACGGAACCTAAAAATGACATGCAAGCATCTAATCTCTATACTGCTCCCTTGACGGTCACCAAAACAACTGCTCCCTTGACGGTCACCAAAACAACTGGAGGGACCTCACACACGAATCTCAACGCTGCGCAGGTAAACGCTCAAGACCCTTACTCTTTTCACTCTGTTGTGCTTTTGTTTCAATAATCAAAATAAAAATGGATATATTTTAATTCTAAACCAGATCTCAAAAATATCTTTAAAAAACAAATAAGATTTTGTGTTGCCTTTGATTTCAAAGAAAAATGGTGAAAATCCTTGTATTATTCTCTGTCGAAAAGAAATGTAAGGGTGCCTTTTACATGATTTTTTGGGTGTTTATAGTCATCCATGTAAACAAAAGCTTACAGGATTTTACAATCTAAATTTTTATTTACATCTCTCTTTGTTTTGTTTACATGCGTGTGATACTGACGAGGAAGTGTTTGGAAGTTGTTGGAGGCCTGCTGATCTTGGCTCTATTCATTCTACTCCTATGTTTAATCTCTTCATTAACAATAAATATCGAAATCATATTCATTGTTCAAAATTATTAAAAAAAGACCAAACCCAAATTAAGCAAAACCCATGAAATTGAACATCAAACTAAACACAAAAACGAAAAGAAAATGATCAGAGAAAGAGATGAAAATAGATCAGCAGAAAAGAAAATCGAGAAAAATAAATCAGGGGAAAGTGATTTGGTTTAGGTTTAAGGGGTTGACGAATTTCTAGAATATGATCAAGATGAAACCAACGCCGATAACACCGTATGAGATTTGGGTTTCTGGGTTTGCAATGGATAGTTTGGGGTTTAGGAGTGATCAGTTATGTTTGGAATTGGGATTAGAATTTAATAAAATATTAATTAAATAAATTTACGCTATTAATAGATGGCATGTCATAATATTATTGATAAAATAAATTTGAATTATTAAAATAAGTAATTTTATAGTTTAATAATTAAATTTAAAATATTTAAACATTAGTGACTAAAATAAGAGTGAGAAGATAGTTGAATGACGGAAAGGTGTAATTTACCTATAAAAAAAAATTAAAGTGCGATTTGTCGTTGTCGTAGAGTTCCACGTCACTTTTTGTGACGGAAGTTGGTGAATATGTTAACAGCAAAAAATATCATGTATGAAATCGAGAATTTTTATACATTATGTATGAAGCTGAGAATCGAATATAATTTATATATGAATGGGGTAATTAACCCTTTTTATATAATATAATACATATATTAATATTATAAAGTAGATTAAAATATAAATATACAAACATGACAAACCATAATATCAATTGTAGAAACTAAGTTTTATAAACTTGTGACTAAATGGAGAGAATGAAAACTTTATAGGCATAATGAAGAACATGGCCAGAATCATGGAAAAGATGTAAAAATCATATAACAGGAGCATTGGAATAGAGATAAAAACATAAACAAAATTGGGACTAAAATGAACAAAAAAGAAGCTAAATGCACAATAAAATAACTAAAACATTAAGGGGCATCCACGAAAATTTTAGAAATTAAAAAAGGACAAAATTGAACTAATTGCAAAGTTATAAGCTCGAAATAGCATGAAATTAATCCAAAACTGGACCATAATGCGTTCACTAAAACCTCAGAAGGATTACAAGATGATTTACCTAAAAAAAACTTATAAAGGTCAAAAGTTTTTATTTTGATTCATTTCTTGCCTTGACTCAAAAAAAAAAAAAACAAGGGAGAGAGCTCTACAACATTTCACCGACAAGGGAGGTCCATCGTCCTCTGCCACCGCTCGTCGTCGTTCGACATAGCCTCTGATGGTCGTTCGATGCTAGATCTTTACGGGAGGTCCGTCTTGATGCCGGGAACTTGGATTCGGTCTCAGTTTTATGAGAAGCTACTCTCGACTCGACGAAAATATCAGAGACTTTTCGATTCTTTACTTCTCTGATTTATCCTCCACCTTCAGATCTTCATGAGATCGAGTATGTGGTCTCCCTAGCCATTATCTCATTGTACACCATTGGGATTTGGGAACCAATCGATAGAGCCAACTGTCAGAAAAACCAACCATGAGGCTTTTCATTTTTTTCCTTTTTTACTTTGAATATGTTTTTCGATTATTTCTTTAAATGGTAGCTGAGTTTTCTTCTTTTGTTGTGCTTTTTGTTGTAAAAAAACTCTCGAATTGTTCCTTTTTATTATGATGGCTCTTCTGCAATTTTCGTTCTTTTTTGGTTTTTTTAATGGCCTCAAAAATGGTTGCTTGTTCCCCTTGATTTCTTTGTTGTTGATGGTTTTTTTTCATTTTTCTTGTTTGGGTGAAAGCTGTCTGAATCTCTCTGGTTTTTTCTTTCTGTTTGATTTTCTCTGAATCATTTGTTTTCGATTTGAGAATGGTTTGATTGCTCTCCTTTTGATATGGTTGTTGCCTTTCATTTTTATCATTGTTTTGCAAACATATGAAGTTAAGAGATCCCCGTGAACCTTCGCCAAAATGGTTACGAGGAGGGTAGGGACCACTCATTGTACGAATAGTCCCTTGCACAAGAAAGGGCCTTTGGTGTGGTAGCTGCTGGCTTGGCCAAAGTGCATGTAAAGTTGTATTGGCGTGGCTACTTCTGGAGTTCTTGGGACCACCGACACGTGAACAACACGCCATCTGCTGAGGATGCGGCAACGATTGGAAGAGTGCGGGAAGTTGGGTTTTGAAACCCCAACACATTTGGGGTCAATTTGGATCGTTAGACCTGCCCTTGATATGACTGCTAACATTTGGTTGCGCTGGAAGGGTTTAGAAAAGCCTAATTCCTTCATGTGTTTGAACGTGGGCCTGGGCCTTCCTCCATGTTAGACCTGAACCATTGGGTCAGTTGATGGGCTTTGGTTTGTTGTTATTTGGTTCGCCACATAATTTGAGTAATTCCAATTGTAAATGGGCTGTTGATTCTATAATGAGACATGCCAAATAAAATGTGCATTAGTAATTGTTTAGTATTTAAATATATAATGTAAGTAGGAGTGTTCAAAATACCCTACTCGAATGACCCGATATGTCGAACCACTGACCCGATCGAAAATTGTCGAATAGTTATTTTGAAAATACCCGAATTTTTGGGTCAAGTACTCGGCCCACTAATTTTTCTGGTTTTTGGGTCAGACCCGGATCACAAAATGTGACTTAACAGATTACCCGCTGACCCGATAACTTTTTGCTAGTTTAAGAAATATTTAACTAGCTAGTTTAAGAGGTTCCTTTTAATTCAATTGTTTTTTACCTTATAAATTTGCTTGTTTGATTTTTTAAGGTTTTTTTTTACCTTTTGCTTATTTAACAAACCATTATGTAAATTACCCATTGTCCGGATTGCTTATTTAATTCTATTCCCTGCATCGTTTTAGCTTGGTTTTTTTACTTTGTATGTTTGAATTATGTAATTCGGATTTTTGATTGTTTTAGTTTGTTCGAATTTTAATTTGTTTAGTATAGATTTTTAGTGCAGAATTTTATTTTTTTTAGTGCAGAATTTTTCAGAAAACATAGTACAAAATGCAGAATTTTTTAGTACATAATGTAGAAAAATTAGTGCGGATTTTTTTTAAAGGGAATCGGGTACCCTATTACCCGAACCAACGGGTACCCTAATTGTGCGGGTACTCGACTTGCAGGTACCCTGATATTACGGGTCAGGTCATGGGCCGAATTTTTAGTACCCAGATACTCGGTTTTGAACACCCCTAAATGTAACCAAACTTAATCTAATGGGTAAACTATAGAGTTTGTCACTTTTGTTTCAATTTTATAAATGTATTATCACACGATTCAAAAAACTTAATTCGTAGTCACTTTCATTTCGTTTTAATTAAGATGTGAACACTTATCCTAAAAAGCCGTTAAAAGTTTAATGATTTGATGATGTGTCATGTTAATAAAATGGTTTAATTTTTTTTTAACCCTTGAACTTTAGGTAAAATTTAATTATGGACTGTTTTGTAAATCTAAAGCAGTTTAGGGACAAATTTACAATTTACCGTTTTTTAATAGGCTTTTCTTCTTAATTCCCCCTTACACCGCACACGAATCGTCCCCTTCGTAGATTTTCGCAACCGGTTCCGTCACCTACAGCGTTTTCCACAACTTTCACAGTCGACCCGTCAAGCTTTTACCCTTTATCAAGGCAGCTTTCACTTCTTTTTTCCCCCTCCTCTCAACTTGGCTTGTGACTCAGCTTATCATTTCTGGGATCGGTTTAGTTCTTGGTTTTGGCATTTTTCTCATTATTCAAAGCAACCCAGCTTCTAGGCTTCCAAGTTGATTGCTCTTCACCTTACTTCATTTTGCTTTGTCTTGCTTACGTGATCATCCTCATGTTTGTCGTGGTTTATTTACAAGTGGACTGGGTATTTGCTTATGTCATCGTCGTTGTTGAATCAAGCTGTGGGTTTGAACTTCTAAACCACCGGTAACACATCAACAGAATCTTCACAATTTCAAACTCTTTCTCTCTCTTTTTTTTCCTGTATTCACACTGCCTTTGATGGTTTTTTATTCTTTTTTGAACTCTGGAAGCTTAGAATGAAAGAACTTCATGGGTTTTGTTTTTCTGTTTGGGTTGCTGAAATGTATTTGCTTTGTTAGAGCAGTTTTGTCTTTTGGGTTGTTGATCTTCAGTGCACAACGTCTTTGTTTTCTGTTTATTAACCGATCAACTACAATGTATGTTCACAAGGTAACATGTAGATGTGTATTTAATGAATTTCCATGTCAATTAATTCTTTAAATGACCAAAGACGATTGACATTGGTAATGGGTAGGGTTTTTTGTTCTGATGCTATTGGGAACCCGTTTACTAGATCACGAAATTCAACTATGTGTATTATGGTGAGTACTCTTCTTTCTTTCAAATTTATTCTCTGTTTCAATTACTCATTCATGATTCAATCATACCCGGATTGTCGAAAATCGACAAAGGGGATGATTCGTGTGCGGTGTAAGGGGGAATTAAGAAGAAAAGCATATTAAAAACGGTAAATTGTAAATTTGTCCTTAAACTGCTTTAGATTTACAAAACAATCCATAATTAAATTTTATCTAAAGTTCAAGGGTTAAAACAAAAAATTAAACTATTTTATTAACATGCCACAACATCAAATCCTTAAACTTTTAATGGCTGTTTAAGTTAAGTGACTACATCTTAATTAAAACGAAATGAAAGTGAATATGAATTAAATTTTTTGAATCGAGTGATCATACGTTTAAAAAATTGAAACAAAAGTGAACAACTCTGCAGTATACCCTAATCTAATATATTAATAGAATTAATCTAAAATAGTGCAATTAACAAAACTAATCTACTGAATAAATATATAATAATATTAAAACTAATCAAAGAAAACTGGTTAAAAATTCAAACAAAAATTAAAAAAGAAGCAACTTAAAACAAAAAAAATATTGATTCAAACCCCTACGAAATTGGTGTCTACAATAATAATAATAACGGATAAAAAAAGAATTTTTATTGCAAAGTAAATTTGATTTGTAGAAATAGACTCAAATTAATATGTTTCTTATTTTCAATCAAATTCTTTTCTCAATTATCTCTTAATTTTATATATTCATTAATTTACTAAATATAAATTGTAACACTCTAAACCAGTACGACACATAGTCAACTGATTAGAATGCCACAAAGAACCACCGAAGTGGCTAACTAAATTTTTTCTTTACTTACTCAATTTAAAATAAGCGTTTGAAATACTCATGATAAAATAAATCAATCACAATATAAATAAAATGGTTTACATTAGAAGCTCCCAAAAAAAAATCTCAATATTCAGACCATCATTTAAAATAAGTTACGACTCGAATATACGAAACATGCTTTACAAATACACATGCCCTCTAAAGAAGAACTCGAGACGTACTCTGGACAAAAGGATCCTCAACAGCTCCTCTGCTAATATGCGTAAGGAAACAAATTTTAGACGCTGAGCTAACTAGCCTAGTGTCACACTAACAACTAAATCATACTAAAAGTGCATCAGAAAAATGCTCACGTTATCAGATCTCATACATCAGTGAGTATACTCATATACTCACTCTCTACTCTAGGGTAGACATATGGTGCGATTGAGGGTTTTACATCTAGGAGCTCACACTGGTGTTCGGTTGGAAGGTTTTATTATGGTTTTAAAAATATGTTTTAAACTATTATTGTTTTAAAAATATCTGTACCTTGACACTTGTTTTTTTGGGAATACACTAGACACCCTATTCTAATCTCCTGAACGTTTCCTCTGAATTGTAAGATTCATGTCTTGTACTTAAAGAAATATTAGTGGAACCTCAGCTCATCACAAAAACCTATAGAAGTCTGAATCATTATGGAAATTTTTTATGCTTGCCTATTATTTGCATGTCCTTCAGCATCACTTGGTAGTTATGTATTATTGAGCTTCCCAAAGCACACTGTTTTACTCTCAATTTCAAGTTAAAAGAATTGATCCGACGCAACTATCGACATCTGTAATGGGAGTTCCTTTGGCTTGGGATGAAGAGTACGATACAAGTATAATTAGAGGACATGTGGGTCACATTTGATTTTTACACTAAGTATGAATGATTTTTCATAAGTTGTATTTTGATTATAAAGTGTTTTATGACTTTACGCGTTTTAACAGAAATTTTAAATTTTGCCGAGATTTTTACTATGGTTCACTTTGGTAACCCTAATGTGACACCTCAGATCAGATCTGGTCACCCGCATCGGTCTATGGGTGTTACATTTAGTGGTATCAGAGCTTAGGTTGGGTTGAGTCTTTTGAGTAGATCGGTCGATCGACTGTGATAGGATGTCTGGTCTATACATGTCCCTAAATTATGGTCGTACTCTCTGAGCCAGAACTCTGATGTTAAGAAATCATTCTGTAATAATTATACCAAAGTATCTTATCTGTTATGACTCAATCTGTGCAAAAGGGAATAATGTTAGTATTCGTCACAATTTTTGAAGTTAGCGTGAGTAACGTGGGAGATTATTCATTAGAGAATTTTGACCTGGCTTCTGGAGAGTTTGAGTTTTGTTACTCCCAAAACGTTCTGTGATGATAAACTCGTAGCCAAACTTTGTAAGTAAAGTTTTGATATTAAGTTATGCTACCCAAGTAGATAGAAGAATAAGGTATTTGGTCCAGATTTAGACAAGGTGTTTTGCCCCAAAATGTTCTACATTGATGTCCTAAATTGAAGAATTTTTGAAATCGTTCTTATTCCAATTTTATGAGTTTGAAACCCAATAAGTGATTAGTTTTGTACCTCAATAACTTGACCTGTATGA